ATTTCCTCTGAATGGATACATGCAGGGAATTTGTATAGATAGAACATATATAGGAAAGCACACACACCCATAGCAAAGCAAGAAGGCCAATTCCTAGGAATCAGCATTCTGGAAACTTATTTATGTTACATAACTGTCAAGATCTAAAAGTTAACCAGAATTGGGAAGATGCAAAATTAAAATTTTCTACAGCTAAAATAGAACATCTAGTACAATTTGCTGAACCAAAGAAAAAAAAAGAAAAAAAGAAACCTTGTATTTTGCTTTTCTTGTCAGATGATATTAGAAAATAATGGCATATATTGTTTTTGCTTCTTAAAAAAACAAATACAACACTATGAACCTTGAATAATGGTTAAGATAGGTGAAAATACCTGAATATGGTTTCTAGTATTTGTAAAAAATGTTACTGCAATGATTAAAAAGGCCTATGAAATGAAAACACAGGTATCTGGTGGGGGGGGGAGTGAGGAGTGGGAGGTGGGTAAAGAAAAAGAAAAGTTTGGTACAAATTAACTTCCAATTTTATTTATATGAATTCTTTACCAATGTAACTTTCATATCATCTATTTAAAGTCTTGACACTGAGTATCAACTCCAGAAATCAAATGGCACAGAAAGGGTAGGAGATATCATTCATATATTTCATTTGTTCCTATGCAATCTATCATTCACAGGAAGAACTAAAACCTACTCAGAAGTTGGATTTTAACTGGAACGGCTGATGAGACAACATTTCTTCATTTTCTATTTATCTGAATTATGCATGTAGTATAAGCAAAAAAAAAATTTCATTATCAAAAACAAAATCCATAAAGATGCCATTTTATCAATTCTTCACCAAAAACTTTTCTAACATATCTAAATTCCTTTCCATACCAGCATACCAAAACATTCTACAATTCTTCCCTACACCATCTTTCCCTTTCCCAATGGTAATTCCTTTTGTAATCCTGCAACAGACTTCCTCCTTTTTTTTTGACACTGTGAATTATAGACTTATCATCAATTGCTGTACTTTCCTGTAGAACACTGAAGAAAAGAACAAATTATAAAAAGTAATGTTCTAATGATACTTGCTTTAATATTGTAAGCTTATGTTTAATGAAGCAAATAGCTTCTTGATTTGGCCATGATTCCACTGAAAACATGAATTAGGAAAGGCAAATTAGCAATTTTGTTTGATAAACAAAATCAGAAACTTTGTTGAGAGGTCAATAGTTCCAAGTTGGGGTTTTTTGTTTGTTTGTTTTTAACCTGTTATCTCTAGTTTCTGTATAGAAAAGGACTGAATTTCATTATACTACCACCTAAGAACAGAGGGAAAACTGCTTAAGAGAATAACCTCATGCTAAGCTGTTCTAGAACCAGGGGCTTCCCAAGGGCCTTGTAATACAATCAAACTCTATTTGGGAACCACTGAGTACTACTGAAAACCTGTTTTTGGAAACTGAGTGACTTCCACTAGTTAAAAACAACAAAATCAAAGAAATAAGAACTAGGATATTTCAAAAATAGTACTATAATAATTCTGGCCCAATTATACATTGATTAGAAATAGAAACTGATTTAAATGTTTCTTGCATTAACTGAATACTTACTAACCAATTTAAATGACTGCAAATGTAATGTAAAGATATTAAAGAAGATCTAGGGATAAGCAATAAAAATATAAGAGCAAAAAAGGAAGGTGAAAGGCAGAGGAAACAGAAAGCTGAAGGGTGACAACTTCAGTGGTTTTAAGTGTTAGTCATTTAATGTTTATTAAGAAAAATACACATTTAAGTGTATCAAGCATCTATTTGCTAAGGGCTGAGAAATAGATAAATAAGCTGTGGTCCCTCACCTGAAAGAACTACTACATTAGCCTTCTTCTTGTTCCTTGAACAAGACCTCCATCTCTAGATTCTGTGCATTTTCTCTAGCTGAACCCCATGCCTGGAATATTCTCCCACTTCATATGGCTCCTGGCTTCCTTTATGTGCCAGAGTCTACAGGAAGCCTTTCCCAATTTCTCTTAAATCAGTGCCTTTCCTTGTTGTTTCCTATTTATCCTACATATACCTTGTTTTTATATAGTTGTTTTGGTTTTGTCTTCCCCCATTAGACTATGAACTTCTGGAGTTCTGGGACTGTCTTTTGTCTCTTTTTGTATCCCCAGCACTTAGCACAGTGCCTGGCACATAACAGGTGCTTAATAAATGCTTACTAACAAACTATGGATGGGGTAAGACAAAAAAAATTTAATGGTGATAAGCATACCTGAGCCTTAGAAACACAGAGTAGTCAACAATCTTGTCCCAAATAAGAGGGAAAAGATTGGCCTCAGATAACCTCATAAATGTTGTAGGTGTTTTTAATGAATTTTACTAATTAACTCCTTGAGCTTAAAAAAAAATTCAGTAAAAATATTCTAGTACTGAATATAATACATTTAGAAATTAAACCCTGAACAGTATACAATCATTTACGATTTGGAAAAAGGATAACTTTTTCCCTCTATGTACAACACTTTGTCTCCCAGACAAAGTGCCTTCACTTTCTTGAAGAGGAAGAATATTATATGTAAAAAGGATTATTGAAAGAAGAGGGTTTAACATTTTAGGCTAGTTACCCTCTTGGTGGAAGTTAAGCGGTAATTAATTATTTTGCTTTATTCATTCCTACAAAGGAAAGAGAATTAAATCCCTTCATGAGTAAAGAAGATCTACTTCGAAATGATCTCATTTGATCCTCCTAAAAGCCCAGTAAGGTAGGTACTATTATTTTCCCCGTTTGCTATATGAGAAAACTGAGGTGGAGAGAGGTAAAATGTCTTGCCTAAGGTCAGATAGCTATGAAGTGTCTAAAGGTGGAATCTGACCCTAGATCTTCCTAATTCCAAGTCTTGTACTCATCACTTCCTCAAAGACTAAGAACTGAATACACTGATGAAAAAAAGGGCTACTTACATAGCACAAAGGGGGTGTATCACAAAGGATTATGATACCAACAAAGGTGATTTTCCAAGACAATGAATGATTCATTCAGAAAAAAAAAAAACAATTCGGGTCACAGAATTTAGAACTGACATATAGTTCAACATATACCTAAACAGAATCCTCACTAAAACCTACAAGTGGTCATTCAAGGCCTAAAGTCCTCCAAAAGGGGAACCCACCAACCACATGGCAAAGCAGTCTCTTTCTATTCTTGACAGTTCCAATAATTAGGAAGTTTTTTCCTGATATCAAGCCTAAACTCCTTCTTTGCAATTTCCACCTATTGTTCTTAGATCTGCCCTAGGGGCCAAATAGAACAAATCTAATCTAACCACTACAACAGGCCTTCAAATATTTGAAGACAGCTATCATGCCTCATAAGTCTTCTCTTTTTCAATGCCCTTCTTAAATGGTGATACCAAGAACTGAACAGCACTACTCAAGATGTGGGCTGACCACGGCAGAGTACAGAAGGACTATCGTGGACATCCTCCTTAGTACTGGAGGCTCATCACTCTTATTTGCCCAAGATCAAATTAGGTTTTTTAGCTGCTTTATTGCACTGCTTGACTCATATCGAGTTTGCAGTCCACCAAAACCCATGGATCATTTTTCAAGACAGTCGTCTAGCCATGCTTCCTTTATCTTATGCTTAAGAAACTGATTACATGAGCCAAGTGTAACACTTTACATTTATGCCTACTGAATTTCATCTTCTGTTACAATTTCATCATTCAGCCCCAAATAGTTTCGGACCTGGATAGTAATGGAGTGGATGAGCTTTCCATCCAGTCATGAGCAAAGGTGCTAAGTATGCCATTAGGTGTCAAGGATGCCTTTATCAGTCCCTAGTAAAAATTTTCAAAAGCTCAGGACCAACCATAGGTCACTGGGGCCTCTACTGGTGGCCTCTTGCCCAGATGACTTTGAATCATTAATAAAAATATTCTTTTGAGTCTAGCCTTTCAACCAGTTCCAACCCATTTGATTGTTATTTTCTAGTCCATTTCTCTCCATCTTTCCCATAAGAATAGCAAAACAATGCTTTATAAAATTCCTTAATTCAGGCCATGACTACCTCTATCCAGGATGACTGCAATAGCCTCCTAATTGGTCTCCCTCTCTCATGTCTCTCCCCCACTCCAATCCATACTCCACACACCTGCCAAAGCTATTTTCCTAAAGCCACAAGTCTGACCCATGTCATTTCCCTACCCAAGAAAATCCAATGGCTTCCTATTGCCTCTAGGATGAAATGTGTAAAGACCTGTTGGGCTTCTTAACCCTTCACAACCTGGCCTCACTCTACCATTCCACTCATTATATACATTATTGCCATTCCTGCTCTTCACAGCCCAACCAAACTGCCCTTGCTATTCCTCATACCCTTCATCTTTTTATCTGTGCCTGCCTTATCTGACCTTTCCCCATGCCTGGAATGCTCTTTCTCACGCAGGTCTCACAGAATCTCTTACTTCCATTATAAGCCAGCTCAAGTTATGTGAAGCCTTTCCTGTTCTCTCACCTGCTACTGCTCTCCCTCCATAAACTACCGTGTGTGTCGTGCACACACACACATCTGTGTATATATATATATATATATTTTTATACATACACACTTACAAATGTACATGCTGCCTCCCTCAATAGAATTTAAGTTCCTCTGTATCCCCAGCACCTCCCAACTCAACAGGCAACTAATGATTCTTGGTTGACTGCTTTCTTAAAATCCAGGTATCTCCGATATACTAAAAGGAAATAAGGTGAGTAGGACACAACCTTGCTAATGAAGTTATGCTATTTTTAATTGCTACTTCCTTTTCTAGATGTTCACTATTGCTTCATTCATCCATTCTAGAACCTTCCCTAAAAGTGAGGTCAAGCTCATTTGCCTAGTTTGCAATACTGTTCTTTTCCCTTTTTGAAAATCGCACCCTGCAGAACCTCTACCTCTTCCCATGGCCTTTCAGACAGCACTGACAGCGGCTGAGCCAACACACCTGCCAGTTATTTCAATACCTGAGGATGTACTTCATCTGTGCATCCACTTGAATTCATCAAGGGCAACTAGGTGATCTCCCACTAGGTCCTCATTTACCTTGGCTATCAACTCCCTGTCAGCCATTTTTGTTCTGTCACTTCCAGTGCATAGGTGATTCTGAGTAGGGGGGAAAAACAGAAGAAAAATGAGAATTGAGCAGCACTGTCTTTTCTTAATTTATCATTTGTCATCTTCCAATTCACTACCATGCAACTTGCTTTGCTGCCCAACACCTGAGTCTTTCTTGCAACTTCAAAGCGATCAGAGCTGGTTTTAGGGTGGAGAGTTAAGGGAGAACGCAGGCGCCCATCTCTCGGAAGAATGAAGAATCATCAGTAAAATATGAGCACCAGAAAACAAAACGCAAGGATCATAATGACTCAAATAGCAACATACTAAATATAACAAATGATCGTAAAAAGAAATTCCATGAACATGTGTCATTTGGGACAGCAGATCAAGGAAAAATATCAAGGTCTACCCAAAGATGTATGGGAGTACTGCTACCTGGAGATGCCTCTAAACGGCAGTCAGGAGCTAACTTGAATCTTTATTTGTTATGCGAACCTGCCTCCTCATCAGAAAGGAAAAATGCTGGTGGTTTACAGACCAGAAAAAAAAAATTAGAGGCAGCACATGGGGAAGATGTATACACAGGGATTAGAAGGATCTGGAAGGGTCCCCAGAGGTCATCTAGATGAATCCCATTCACTTTACGGATCAGGAAACTGACGCTCGGGGAGGTTGTGACTCTCCAGAGATCACACGGCTAGCTAGAGACAAACGAGCCAAGTTTTTGAATGTAGGTCTTCCTGGCTACAAGTTCAGCATTCTCTCCACTACAACATGGGGCCTCTCTAGAGGAGTGAAAAACAAAACCCAAACAATCCCACAAGAGAAAGGAGGCTTGGGGTGAGAGGGCAGTGAGGAGATGAGAGCTTGGGACACTTGACCCGCCTCCCCGCAAAGTGCGTCTGCAGGTCCCCGCGTTTCGGGGATGCTGAATCCGGCAGCCCCAGGGGTCTAAGCGGCTGAAGACACGGGGTGGCCTAAAGGACACAAATCTGGTCTTTGGGAGCCCCGTAGGAAAAATCTCTTCCCCCGTCCCCCGCTCCCCAGCAGGTCCCCACCTTTCGGCCCCCGACGGGGCGGTTATTTTGGCTGCTGGGACATCCCCGGGCTCCAGGCAGCTAGAACGATTTCGTTTCCACCAGCAGAGGGGCCCAATCCCCACCCCGCCACTGCTAGGGGAGGCGGAGAGATGAGTCCCGGCGGACCAATTCTAAGCCGACCCAGCAGGTCCAGATGCATCTTCAGCCCCCGAGGCAGAGACGCCGCCGGCGGCGACCGCGTGGGCCCCGCTACGCGCGAGCCTGCGCAGACCGTAGCCGTTTAGAACGCCCGCGGGGGGCGGTCCCGTGGGCGGGGTCAGAGAGCGCCAGGACAGTTACTCCCCGAGACCCCGAGGGGGGGGAATGGGAGGGTCCGTCTTTATGGCTGCCTCCGGATTGGACAGTTCCGGGCGCTCTTTCTCGGTCGCCAGGTCTCTCTTTCCGAAGTGTGAGGAGCCTTCAAGGGCTAAGGGGTCTTTTCTCTCAGTTGGACGCTCGTGCCTCCTCCCTCTCAGTCTCTGCTTCAGAGTTGCTCGCTGAGGGGGTCTTTGCGTCACTTCCCCGCGGGGGTCTCTTCCCTTCCCTTCACCTCAGCCTTGGGGTTCCAGACTCTCCGCCCCCCTCCCCTCACTCTTTTCCCTCCATCCGGACTCTTTGGACACTATTATAAAAAGTATAAACCAGAGCTTCCAGGGAGGGAGGGGAGGGGGGGTGAGGGTTGGAAAGGAGTCAGGGGCTCCCCGCTCCCTCTTCCCCACCCTCCGTGCCTCAGACCCCGGCTGGGAGGCGCTGAGGAAGGGAAGCGTGAAAGCGAGCGCTTTCCTGCGCTTGGGTCGCCCTGCAGTGCCCCCGCCCGCCCCCCCCAAGCCTCGGGCAGCCTCGATCTCGGTTGGGAAGGGGGGAGGAGGCTGGGAAGCGCTCGAGAGGAATGGGAAACACCCCGCAAGGGGCGGGGGAGAGGAGAGGAGGGGCAGGGCGCGTGTCGGGCTGCGCGGCCGCCTCCGGCTCCTCCAGTCTGGCCTCAGAGCGGTGGGGAGCTCAGGGGGCTCCCACGCGGGGGCTCGGCCGGCCCGGCTCGCTCCCCCGCGGGCGGCGGGCGCTCCTGCTGGCAGGAGGCCGACTCACTCCCTTTGTTCTTTCTCTTCCCCCTCACCTCCCACTCCCCTCCTGTCTCGTGGTGGCGGCTCCTCCCGCCGGAGGCTGTCGGGCTGCTCGGGAGAAGGGGAGGGGGGAGGGGAGGGGGGAGGAGGAGGAGGAAGGCGCTGGAGCTTTCGGGGCGTCGGGGGCGATGGCGAAGATCAGGGTGGCTTACGAGTACACGGAAGCGGAGGACAAAAGCATCCGGCTAGGCTTGTTCCTCATCATCTCGGGCATCGTGTCGCTCTTCATCTTCGGCTTCTGCTGGCTCAGTCCCGCCCTGCAGGATCTGCAAGCCAAGGCGGCCAACTGCACGGTGTTGTCGGTGCAGCAGATCGCCGAGGTGTTCGAGTGCACCTTCACCTGTGGCGCCGACTGCCGCGGCACCTCGCAGTACCCCTGCGTCCAGGTCTATGTCAACAACTCCGAGTCCCACTCCCGGGCGCTGCTGCACCGCGACGAGCACCAGCTGTTAACCAACCCCAAGGTAGGTCCGGCCGTTCGGGGGCGGGAGCTCACCTGGGAGGGAGCCCGCAGCCGAGGCGTGCGGATGGGGGGCGATGGCCCCGCGGCCGGCGAGCCGGGGGTCCCCGCTCTGCTCGTGGAAGGACGAGAGCTGCCGCCGCCGCCGCCGCCGCCTCAGCTCGAAGGTTTTCTTCCTGAGTTTTCCGGGCTCCCGAGGCTACACCCCGGACCGGCCTCCCTCCTCGTGAGCTCGCTGGGAATCTCGCACCTGTAAGAGGTAGCGGCGGCTCGCGGCGAACACACAAACGCTTGGCAGGGAAGTTAACTTTTCTTTCCTCCTGGTTGAAGCCCGGCAGCCAAAGCGGCCGCTGTGCACTCCACCCACCCTGGAGCAAGTCCCCGTTCCGCGGGCCAGGCTTGCCGCTGTCCGCGGACTGACTGAGGAGCGGGCGGCAATGGGAGCTATCCACGAATGCCCTGCAAAGAAAGAGATCCTGATTTTGTGGTCTGGTAGTCATAGAGAAAGTCCGGGAACCTGTTGGGTGCTGGCTGGGTGGTGCAATTCCTTAAGCAGGGGCGTAATGCAGGGATACTTCTTTAAAATACAAATCTGATCAAATGAAATCTATTGAATCTGCCTTCCCTAGAAACTTTTCCTGCCTAATTGAAAAATTAATTAATAAGCTCATATGAAGTGTCTGGCACTGTGCTAAAATACAAAGAATGAAACAATTTAGGGATATTTCTTTAAAATACAAATATGGTCAAATGAAAGCGAAGTTATCCTTCCCTTTCAACTTCTACTTTATTGAAAAGTAATTGATAAATCAACAAGCATTTATTAAGTGCCTGCTATTTGCCAGACTCTGTGCTAGGATTCCACTACAAAGAGTGAAACCATCCTTAACCTCTAAGACCTTGCCTTCTAAAGGAGGAGTTGACATCTCTGGGGCTTAGCAGGACTGGGAAGTGCAGTTTACACTAGGACAACTGTTAGGGGGTTCTGCTTATAAAATGCAATGTCCTTAGTCTGGGAATTAATTGAGTTTTTGGGGCTACCAGAAAGACTTTTTCCTTTTCTCTCTTTTCTTTCTTCCATCGGACACAGTAAAGGAAAGGATGGATCTTGGCAAAATTACTCAAGATTTTTCTGATTCCTCCTGATGCCTAGCTTCATGATTAAAAGGAAGAGATTCAGAGAGGATCCATGATGAGAAGCAAAATTAAGGTCTACAAGTTGAAACTACTAGCTTGAAGTTTTTCTAGTCTCCCTTTAAGGGAACAGTGTTCCACTTGTGTTGGTATTTTGACTAGTTATCTTTCATTAATACAGAAAATTTTGAGAGTTGGTGTCATTGAGTATTAAAAACTAAACAGTCAAATGTGTACTACAGGAACCTTTACCCGTGGCCTGTGAAAGCTGTTGCATTAAACTTTAAATTCGTGATTTGAGATGTAAAGGAGCTTATTTAACCTAGGAGTCCTTTGTTGCTAAGTGATCTTGAAGAAAATAGAGTTTTCTTCACTTTTAGTTAGAAATGTAGATTTCAGAAGCAAAGCAAAATTCCATAAGAGGTTAGAGGAAATACAATTTTCAAACTTGCCAGGAGGTAATGATGCCTTAAAGATAAATATTGCCAATTAACCTGCTTAATACTCCATTGTGTAAAGATAATTTTCAGATAATCAAAGTATTAGAAACATCATTTTTTAGAGGTGAACCAAAACCAAAAAAGTGCCAGAAAGTAATAATGAATCATAAGACCATAGAATTTCCGAGCTAGGAGAACATCTATTCCATGTCAGTTTCACTTTAAAAATGGAGACAAAGTTAGTGAAGCTCTGTTATCTTTAAGAGATAATTTCTCATACAGTAACAAGTCATGCAGCTCTTTCTATTGCTAGTAACAAGACAGAAAAAACGACAAATTACTAAGTCTTGTAAAATACCTTGGACAAAGACTTAGAATCTCAAAGCAAGTTTTGAAAATTCTGGCAGGAGAAAAATTGGAAGCATTAGAAGATAGATTTAAAATCACTTGGAAGCAAATACTTTATGTAATACTTAGATTTGATTTCATATGCCAAGAGTCTGTTTCTTTAGAGTGCCAATTCTGATGCTGGCAGGATAGATCTTGAAGGAGTACCTGGGCAAAATAACATTTTTAAAGAAGCTGTAATAGAATTCAAGAAATAAGTCTAGGAAAAATACACATATGTATGTGTATATATATGCATGTGTGTATATATAGGCTTGTGTGTATACATATATAAACATACATGTATACCTATGCCCACACATTTTTGGAAAAATAAGGGACATTCAATTTAAGGTTGAAGTAGAGCATCTTAGTCAAAATTTAAATCTCCCCCAGCCAGCATTTTCACTATGGGAGCTTCATCCAAATTGTTAATAATTTGTAATATTAATAGAATACAAATTTATGCTGTGGCTGTAGTCTTTCCTTTTCAGATTAGTATGGGCCACTATTGGAAAAATGAACGATAAGTAAATACATTGAGGCAGTGCCTAGTACAGAAGCAGAATGTTTAAGTAAAAATTATTATTATTTTTTTAATTCCTGACCTATTATTTCATCAGTGTTAGGGAGCTCCTGATAAGGCACTTCATCTTTGTATTTGGGTCAACTTTTGTTCTGCCACTTAAAATCATTGTGTCTAAGGCACTGAGAGGCTAAATTAGTTGCCCATCATCAAACCATATCAGACAATATTCCCAATTTACTTTGCCACCAAGAAAGAAATCCTTCCTTCCTTCCCAAAATTTCTCCTTCTCTAATCCACTTTTTGATTTTTTCTTCTTTCCAATGACCTCTATGTGAAACTCCCTAAGCCTCCCAAGTCCCTTTCCAGAACATGTAGGGAGTATCCCCACCTCCAAAAATAGCCTAGACCCCCAGGAATCCAAGATTTCTTTCTTCTTCATTACCCATCCCCACAAGAAGCAAAATTTAGTAAACATCACTCAAAAAAATTAGACCAAGATTTTAAAGAATTTTTTTTCATCTTCTGCCCAACCCTAAAGTCTACAGACTACTTTATTAATTGTAATGGAAGAGTTTTGGAACTATTACAGAGAACATATAACCATGAAAATCATGTATTATTAAAAACACTGGTGAATAAATTTTGTTGCCAGCTGATCTAACTTTTAAAGGAGTTTTAATTCTGTTCAACTTAATTATCAGCATCTATTTTGACTCTTGTTTTTTTGATCTTGCGGGACAAGAAAATTGGAACAGACGTGATTCCGCTAATCAGTTGCAATATTAGAGTTAACCCTCCATTATTTGTAGACAAATTAACTCTTCTGTGAGCTTCCTCTTTGCCATCCTGGTGATAACATTCTTCTGAATTATTTCCCTGGGCCATTGAGTTAGTATGTGCTTAGGGGATATAAATGCATTTTATTATTAATTTTAAAAAACATAATTAAGAAATTAAATCGAGGGGAAATGAAATAAAGAATTCCAGAGTTGAAGATAAATGGTTTCTGTTTTTTCCAAAATATTTTAGGTCATTTATACTACTGCTTTCCTGCATTAACATGGATAATTGAGAGTTCAGTGAATTACATTTGAATAAAGACAAATATTCAAAGTGCTCTTCTGTCTGCAGAATACTTGCAGCTAAGTGGTCCAGTGAACAGAGCTTGGAGACTTGGAGTTAGGAAGACCTGAGTTCAAATTTTGCCTCACTAGCTTTGGCCATGGCAAATCTGTCTGTGCCTCACCTTTTTCATCTGTAAAAATAAAGATAATAGTACCTATATCACAGAGTTGTTGTGAGGATCAAATAAATTAACATGTGTAAAATGCTTTTCAAACCTTAAAACACTATATAAATGCTAACTATTATTAAAGCTTTAGAAGAATTAGGAGGAAGAGTAATGTAAAGTACTATGAAGGAGTTAGAAAATACAGTAAAGGGAGGGGAAAAAAGGTAAAATGACTAAAAAGGACTCTGCAATTTAGGCTGAAGGATAGCCAAAGTTAAGAGACTTCCAAGAATTATCATTTATAATAACCCAAATAACCCATCAAGTCTCCAAAACTTTCTTCCCTCTCCTCCTGCCACATACCCAGAGAGGTTGTTTAGTTCTATTGGCAGCATACTCAGCACAACAAAAAACTGCTTCTGGGGCTCACATGTCCTGTGTTTAGTTTCACCAGGCTCAAGGTTGAGCCTAAAATCTCTGACTCAGGCTTTGAATGGAGTTTCAGGTTGTGGTTCCCAAGTCAGGGCCAAAATTTCTTGTCTCAACACCTTTTCAAATCTTTTTTCTTTTAGGAAAGGAACTATAGAGTTATACTGATCTTATTTTAAAAATTGAGTATACTAAATAATTTTGTTTGCATCTTAAAATAGCTCTTAAAACATTCGTTATTATCACAAGAAACCACTAGTCTGTTGAAAAGACTTACCTTCATCTTTGTCTGTATAAGCTTTAGAAATAGATATATTGCTTTACCCTATCCCTCTTTAACTTCCATCTTTAGGTAGAGTGTATAGAAGTCACCATCGCTTGGAAAGCCTCTAGGAAAAAAATGTATTTATGAAAGAACAATGAGATACTAAATTTTGTTTGATAGTGATAGTGATCTAGTGATTCTTAATATAATCTCATTATATTGTGAACCATAAAATATATTGATTTTAACTACTTTGTGCTGTTATTATTAAATTACATCTTAGACTCTTTGAAATATGCTTCTATAAGTAATGATTAAATAAATGAACAAATTATCAACACTGATTTATCATGTACATATACCTTTTCTGTAGTTTTATTTGAAGAAAGAATGTAAAAAAAAGAAAATGCATTTGTATTTCAACCATCATCATAAGGTTTACACAGATTTTATTATATTTTCATGTATAGCAACACATAAGTGAACAATTAAAGTTTTGCTTACTTCAAGTAGTTTTACAAATTTTATAGTTCTTTTGCCGAATTTCATTTTCATTTGAGTTCCTAGATAAACAGTACATTTATCATCT